TGCCTAAGGCTATTTTACAATTAACTTTTTAAAAATAAGTAGTAAGAATATGTTTTATCTAAAATAACAATTAAAACTATAGTAAATACATAAACCAGTAACATAGGTTACATCGTTGTATGTTACCATCATCACATACAGACTGAGCAGCCTAAATTTGAAAATCTAAAATTCGTAATGTCCAAAAATCCAAAACATTTTGTGCATTGGCATGATATGCCAATAAAATGATCATTGGAACTTTTCAGATATGGAATGCTGAACTGGTAAGTATATATAATGCAGATATTTCAAAATTTGCAGAAATCTGAAACATTTCTAGTCCCCAGCATTTCGAATAAGAAACACTTGACCTGTACTCTGCACTTACATACTGTACGTGTTATACTTTTATATGGCTGACAGTGTAGCAGGTGTTTACACCAGCATCTCCACAGACACTGGAGTAATACATTGCACTACAGACAGTAGGGATTTTTCAGCTCCATTATCATTTTATGTCACTACCCTCTTACATGTGGTCTGTCATGTGTATAGTGTTTTTTTCTCCCCGGCCCCCTTTCTGTTCACAAGAAAAAGAAAGTGAAACCTTTTTGTAAAGTCTTTATCCCTTCCACATAAATCTAGATATTGCTGCTTCTTTACTCTCTTTGAACTTCAACACTTTTCATATAGCAATTTTGTACATATATGTAGTGAAATCACAAGTTCCTTAACAGTAGGCATTATGTCTTTTTTCTCTCTAATAAATCTCTAGTACCCAGCCTTGAACATAATAGATGCTTGGTAAATGTGAGTGGATGGGTCAGTTGGGAGTTGATGAAAGAATGGATTAAATGCCCAGTGGGGGAAATGGATCCTCTATTGATGACTAACATCTAAATCTTAAATTAGCTCTTGTAGGTTTTTTGTTTTGGGGGGGTTTTTTTGGAGACAGAGCTTCACGCTGTCTCCCTGGGTAGAGTGTTGTGGCATCACAACTCACAGCAACCTCCAACTCCTGGGCTCAGGCGAGTCTCCTGCCTCCACCTCCCAAGTAGCTGGGACCACAGGCACCCGCCACAATGCCTGGCTATTTTTTGGTTGCAGCCACCATTGTTGTTTGGCGGCTGGGGTGGATTTGAACCCGCCACCTTAGGTGTATGTGGCTGGCACCTTAGCCACTAGAGCCACAGGCACCGAGCCTCTTGAAGGTTTTCTAATGAATTGGAGCTTGATTATCTGAATCAAAATGGATTCTGGAGGGAAAAAGGTTTTCTTCCTCCTCACAGGATTCTCTGGTAGATAGCTGTTCTTTGGGGAGTTTTTATTTATGAGCCTTAAAACTGGTTGTCCTTATTCTGTGTTGTCAGTTGTTTGTACTAAGAAATGTTACGTACCTGTTTGGAGGGAGCTTAATAGATGATTTGTGCCTCCTTTTTATTTCACTATTTTCAACAAATATGAACATCTGAAGGCTGGGTGTGGTGGCTCATACCTGTAATCCCAGCATGCTGGAAGGCTGAGACAGGTAGATTGCCTGAGCTCAGAAAAGTTCAAGACCAGCCTGAGCTAGAACGAGACCCCATCTCTAAAAATAGCTGGGCATTGTGGCAGGCGCCTATAGTCCCCAGCTACTTGGGAGGCTGAGGCTAGAGGATCACTTGTGTCCAAGGTTTGAGGTTGCTGTGAGCTATGATGCCACATAGCTCTACCAGGGTAGAATACTACCCAGGTACTCTGTCTCAAAGAAAAAACCAAACCAAACCAAATATGAGCATCTCCTATATGCCAGATCTTAGGCCCTGAGAATAGTAAGCAAATCTAAATTCTTATCTTCATAGAGCTTATATGGGAAGATGGCATTAAGCAAATATGTGTTAAGTACTGGTGAGTGCTATGATTAAATCAGGGTAGGAGAATAAAAAGTGATATGACTAAAATGTGGCTTTATCATTTACAGCCTCACAAAAAGAAGGCTTATCAGGATAGCATGATAAATGTTTAAGAAAAAAATGCCAAGAAAAATGTCCATTAAAGAAGTAAGCTAAAATATTGTAAGGGTTATGTCTGATGATGAGATTTGTGGATGATTTTTTTTTTTTTTTAGCATGCTCTATGTATTTTTCCCACAATGTTCATTACCTTTATTCTTGGGAAAGAGGGGGTGTGGATGAGCTCATGTTTGCATTTAAAGCCTGGTTGTGCTGGCTTCTGTCTCCTTTGTTCATCACGAGGAATAAAGTCACCTGCATTCTCCCAGAGTATTTCGAGGGCTATCCCCAGTAGTTGTCTCGTACGTAATCTGAGCAAGTTCAACTCAATGAATCCTTCCAGTTTCTGGATAGGCCTCTGCTTCTTACCAACCGTGATCTGTATTTAAGAAAGTTCTTTCTAAAGTCTAAGTCCCCAGTTTGGGCAAAAGTGCTTTGTCATTCATCTAACACTTCCGCAGCGTTTGTGGAAAGTGCAGAAAAACTCTCTCGTAAGCTACTAATTCATCATAAAAGAAACATCACTTTTCAACGAATTCTCTCACAATCCATACTTCACAATATTTTAGTCAAACCTGACCTAACTCCGCGTTGTTGCACACGTGTTGTGACTTCTTACAAAGGCTGTGTGTGGGACAAGGGCAGAGAAAAGGCAGGAAGCACATTTTTTCTTTCCCCTGGTGAAATGAGTTCAGCTCCTTTTCTCTTGTCACCAGTCAGGAGAGCACTGCTCAGGCTTCGCCTCAGCTGCTATAGC